TTTTTTAACTACCCATGACGTCAACAGGAGTGACTTCTAAAAGTAATTTCAACGACATTGACGTCTGCATCGCCGACTCTCACAAGCCCCCGATTTTCACGACAGCGAGTTTCATAAGCTTGATTGGTAAACGATTTTCACTTGAGGTGACCGACTGCATATACACTCAAGCACGGATTTTGAATTATCATTTCTTTACATACGAAAAAGTTCTGGATGGACACTAATAGACGCCGAACGAAGGGTCTGCAATCCACCGCAGGTGGATTGCCTACCTGATTAGCTGTAGGACATTGTCTGCGATCCGGCGAAGTCGGTTTGCTTACCTAGGTAGCTAACTTGAATGTTTAACGATTTTCACTTGAGATGACGGACTTGCTAGACATTCCAACTCAGTTTTCGAATTTTCATTTTTTTACACACAAAAAAGCAAAGGACATGCGACGGGGAACCGTGTTATTCAATTGCCGATTTTCGCGGGTGAAATGAAATTTCAAACATTCCCGCGCTCGAAACGAGATCTCTAATACTCATCAAAAATCGTTATCACCTCCTACATTTTTGTTTTTAACTACCCATGACGTCAACAGGAGTGACTTCTAAAAGTAATTTCAACGACATTGACGCCTGCATCGCCGAGTTTCACGACAGCGAGTTTCACAAGCAGCTAGTATATAGTATAAAAATCAATATAAAAATGATTGGTACGTGTATTGATTATATATTGATAGTCAGGTGATTTAATCTAAAAAAATAAGTTTTGTAATATACTAATATATTTGTTAATAATTTTTCAAACCTGTAAATTTGTTGCATTGAACCACCAAAGTTTTTTTAATATTTTCGACATCCAATGTCCGACGATCATCCGAAAGAATATTTTTGTATCGTGAAAAACTTCTTTCCACATCAGCTGATGTTATGGGGACATACCTGAAGTAAATAAGATCATTTCCGGTTAAGTCTTCTGGCAATTCATCCATATAGGTGATTTCTCCATTTAAAATTTTCGAAATATTTCGTAAAATACTGAATCCATTATTTTTTTCCAAAACATAATTTAGTTTTCGGTTTATTGCGTCGCCTACTTCACCAACTACGTCATTTAATTTATTTTGAACCAATTTAACGACAGCTATTGAATCAATCAATGAAATATCCTGTCGTTCAAGTTGCGTGATTGTTGATGTTAAAAAACCATAATTTGAATGAATAAAAACCAAGTTAGCTTCTATAGAATTTTCACTTAAAATTTGTTTAGCTTCTTTAATAGAAACCGCATCATTTGAATCTAATATTTGCAATACACCATGTATTTCTTTAAAATGTTGGCAGTAGTATGAAGTAGCATTGATCCATGTTCCCCAACGCGTAAGTATGGGTTCCGGTGGAAGCGGAATACCCGGAGCTTCGGTTTTTAAATAAGATTGTGCGAGATGGAGCTTTTAAAAACACTTGTTTCACTCTAGATATTAACTTGTCTACACGAGGAAATTTACCTCGAATTCTTCTGCAACCCTGTGCATACCGTGTGCCAAACAAGTGACATGCACCATTTTCGAGTATAATGCTTTTATTGCTGTTCCAGCTTTTTTCATGTATGGAGCGGCGTCACTCAGAAATAAAAGCACGTTATTGTGTTGTATACCGTCTGGCCACAAAAGGAACTTAGAATTATCAAAGAGCTTTGCTATTGTTGAAAAGTTAACTTTTTCCAAAACTTCAGTTGTTAATAAAAATATTTCACCTGGCCCATCAATTAACAATATTCCAACAATAACGTTCTCAATGAATCTACCTTCTACATCAGTAGTTTCATCTATAGAAACCCACATTTTTTTGTCAGAGATATGTTTTCTAATATTATTCATTGTTTCATTGTAACAATCAGTCACATACGTTTTTCGTAAGGCAGATTCGCTTGGAACATCATTTAGTGTATATTTTTCTAAAAATGATCGAAATTCAATATTGGTGATTTTATGTAAAGGTATATTAGCACATAACATAGCTTTACATAAATCTTTTGAAAAATGCGTTTTTTTTTAATTACT